TATGATATCGACACAGATGAAAATAAAATGAAAATTTCTAAGGAATGCATTTCTAAGTAGCTTCAAATATGTTAGTGCACATATTCTTATGATTTGAGCAGTTTTTGGTAAACTACATAAAATAGAAGTATTGCGATATTGCGATTATTTTAATTTAATTTTGCAGTTGGATTTTACGAAGATTTTGTATTTGTTTTGATGTCATAATATCCAATATAGGGCTGCTCAGGATGGCAGGCGCAACTTGGGCAATGAACGTGATCTACACTGAATTTACCAACAACAAAATTAGATATTTCATCATTAATTTTGGGGGTGTTATGCATACTATACTATTGGCTGAACTCTTGTGCTTTTTGCGGGATTATATATAGTTTTGTTTATAATTTAGTTGGAATTTTGAAAAGAGTATACAATTTTAACAAACTGTATATTTATGATATCGATACAGACCAAAATAAAATGAAAATTTCTAAGTAATGCATCTCTAAGTAACTTCAAATATGATAGTGTACATATTCTTATGATTTTAGAGTTCTTTTGTGAACTACATATAATAGAAGTATTGCAACTTATCGATTATTTTAATTTAATTTTGCGGTTGGATTTTACTAAGATTTTGTATTTGTTTTGATGTCATCATATCCAATATACGGCTGGTCTACGCTATATTTGATACTAATTGGATTATTTTGTATTTTAGTACTTTTCTCAAGGGTGACTTACGTGTGGAAATATAGGAATGCATGTTACACGATCTTTCTTAATTTTGGATTTCCAGATTTTGCAGTGTTTATAATATTAAATAGTCACCATATTATTATTGATTCATGAGCTCTTCTGGTATCGCGTGCATCAATCATGTTTCTGCATATAAGTGAAAACAAAACTTGAGTAAGGAATGAACGAGGGAAAAGTGTCGGAAAAGTCATAAACATTTTGCATTTGTATCAATTCAGTTCTAAATCTTTTTTTGGTACCAATTCAGTCCTAAACATTTTATCTTTGTGCCAATTCAGTCCTTTTAACTAATTTTGATCGGATTTTACTGACGTGGACGCCGACCGGCTTACGTGGCACCGCCGGTGATGACGTGGATAACTTTTAATAATATTTTTCAAAATTTTTTATATTTTTGATATTTTTTCTTTTCTTTTCTTTCTCTTTTTTTTTCTTTTCATTTCTTCTTCCTCCAGCTGGTCGCTGGTCGGCTAGGGTCGGCCAGGGTGGCCACGAGGTTGTAGGCCGCAACCTCGCAGCCTCTGCCAGCAGTTGGGTGAGGCACGACCTCACTGAATTCGACGAGGGTTGAGCCCCGCCGGCCATGGGCGAGGCCTAACCTCGCTATATCCGACGAGGTCATGCCTCGCCTAGCCGCTGACGAGGGCTCGAGCCTTTGCCAGTGGCCGTGAGGGCAAAGGCCTTTGCCCTCGCGGCCACTGGCGAGGGCCGGGCGAGGCTCGCCTTTGCCATCGTCGGCGAGGGCTAGCCTTGCCAATGGCCGGCCGGCGACCGACTGGAGGAAGAGGGAGGGGAGGAAAAAAAAAGAAAAAATAATTAAAATAATTTAATTTTTTTTAAAATATTATTAAAAGTTGTACACGTCAGTGCCGGAGGTTGGTCGCCGGCCGGCCGACGTCCACATCAGCAAAATCCGGCCAAAATTAGCCGGAATGACTGAATTGACACAAAAACAAAGTGTTTAGGACTCAATTAACACTAAAAAAGGTTTAGGATTCGATCAGTATCAATGCAAAAGGTTTAGGACTTTTTTGACACTTTTCCCGAATGAATTAAATGAATTCAGATTTTCTCTTGTCAGAAAATTAATTTATTTCTTTTGCTTTTCAATAAATATATTTTTAAATAACAAATTGATCTCTTTTTATATTTCATCACGCTTCATTATATTAAGGACGATGTTTCAATAGTGAAAGCAAACATGTATGAGCTCTTGACGGCAAATAATGTCATAGTCTAGAAAAGAGGAACTCCGAGCGTTTGTTTGATATCTTCTTGGGCCAACTTTCACTATAAAGAAATCGTCGTATTATCTTCACCGAGTCCTCGACAACCTTCATGTCCCTCGTGTTTAGCTTCTTTCTCTAGATCAACAATGACGGATATTCAATATCACCACTATACAACCACGGAAAGCTACCATCATCGAGACCGAACTTGCTCAAACATGGTCATTCCTTGTAACGGAAAACACAATGGTCGCTACCCCAGACGACGAACATGACCGAGCAAGCGAATTGAGAGCATTCGATGAGACGAAAGCTGGAGTCAAGGGCCTTGTCGACGCTGGGATGGCCCGAGTCCCCCGCATATTTGTCTGACCACCCGACAAAGCGGCCTGCCGGGAGGATCGTGTGAAGATCCTGGTGATCGACCTAGGATGCACGAACAGAGGCCCCACCCGTCACGGCGAGATTTTGCAAAATATTGCGCAAGCATTGTAAAAATGGGGTTTCTTCTAGGTGATCAACAATGGGGTCCCTAAGAACCTCTTGGAGGAGGCGATCGACGGGTCGCACAGGTTCTTCGAGCAGGAGACGGAGGCCAAAAAAGAACTTTGCGCTAGCGATCTTGCAAAGAGGATCATATACAACAGCAACATGGGACTTTATAATTAAGTCGTTGCTGATTGGAGACAGTATATTTTGCTTCATGGGACCGGAGCCTCCCCAGCCCGAGGAGTTGCCGGACGCTTGCAGGTGAGGCAATGGGATTCTGTTGCGTTTTTCACCTATCGAAAAGGAAATATTCATGAAAAACGAAGATAGTTTGCAAAATAACTGCAGCAGTTCATATAGGTACAAAGTAAATGGTTTTCGCTGTATGATACTTAATTGCCTTTTGTATTTTCTTCAACAAATCAAGGGCTAAACTAGCACCTGTATGAAACTCGAGTTATTCGCCTTTTTTTTCCATTGAATCGGCTGGAATAGGTGTTGAACACTCAGGACATGAAAGTGCCCAGTTCTTATGTTCAGTCGACAAAGGCAATTGCTAATGCTGAATATGTACAAAGTTTCTCGCCTAAATTCTACTCGTAGCATATAATCTTGCATCTAGTCTCAATCAATGAGAAGAATTAGTAAGATGATCCTCAATGATTGATTTTCACCAACGAAAACTGCAGAGGTGCTCGTTCCGCTCTTTTTGGGTAGAAAAAAGGATGTTTCTCGACAGTTGACTCTATTCGCGTTCCAGCAGTAGCAGTACCAAACTTTTGCACCTGAGTTGATGCAAAACAGCAATACCCTCTATGGTGTTCTCTGGGAATCCAGCCGACTACTTCTACGGCAGCTCTAGTTCAGTTTTCCGATGCATTGCAATATCTCTGGCAGAGAAATGCTGATCTCAAAGCATGTGATGAGACTTAGGTCTCGTCTGTTTGAGCTTGTATCAGAAGTCCCATAACTCCACCCAAATCACTGGAAGGAGATGGAGTGTGGAAAGGGACACGCGATAACGTGCCACTACTATCCGCCATGCACACAGCACGAGTTGACCTTGGGTGTGACAAAGCATTCAGACAATGACTTCCTCACAATTGTCCTCCAAAATCAAGTTGGAGGACTTAAAGTGCTTCATGAGAACCAGTGGATTAACGATCCTCCAATTGTTGAAGAGCTCTTGAGAATTCAAGAATTAAATTACCTTGGTATCTTCCTGTAGCAATAACATCATGTCTTCACAATCTGAACTTTTCTTTGGTAAGACGAATCCGCATTTACCCTTCGCAAATGCCTTGTGCATAAAGTATCCTAACAGAGCTATCTGATTCATCCGAACTTGATTCTAACTTTGTTCAATCATGCCTGCCTCACATTGAAAGGTTCAAAATTATCTGAATGTCACGGATGTTTGTTGGAAACCATGTTTTTTAACAGAAGCGGTCAATGTCGGTTCGAGGTATTCTGCAGTTTTTGTATTTATCAACATTAATAGAGCAATCATAGTAGTACATAGAAATTATGTTCCTTCATTTCTGACCTGAGAACTGATAGATCGAGAACGTTCACTAATTGTTGCATTCGCAGCTCAAAACAAACGACCAGTTTAAGAGCGTTGAGCACCGAGTCTGGCAAACAAAAGAGGCCCAAGAGTGTCGGTAGCATGCTTCTTCGGTGACACACTTTGGCCATCTTCAAGGCTGTATGGACCCATCAAGGAATTAACATCAGCGGACAACCCACCAATCTAAAAGGAGACTATGCTTCCAAACTACACTGCCCATTACATTTTAAAGAAAAGAAGAACGAAAAAGAGAACACAACTTTAAAAAACAAAGATCATTTTCTAAGCAAAAGCAGAACCAAAAAGAGAACACAAAAACCGCCGCCCTCAGCGGCTGCGCTGGCTTCGGACTCCCCTCCCCCCACGAAGGGTAGGAGTTCGAATCTCAGCGCTGGCGTTAGGGATTCTTAAGCGTGACGTCGTGGTGGTGGGTCCTGCGCTAGCATCACCCCGGGTTTACCTCCCCGGCTGTCGGCCGTGAGGAGGGTTCCCGGGTTACAAAAAAAAAAAAAAAAAAACACAAAATAGAGGGAGAGGAAGATTAACACATACCCCTTTAAAATCAAAAGAAAGATGCTATCTTCAGATTGGATACTCATATGACAGTTAAATCACTAATCTACCGCGAGAAAAAAATTGCGCTTTCAAGAACATTTACGTTTGGTTCAGCTTTGGATTTCAACTTTGTATATTAACGGCAGGATAAAAAGTGGAATTCTTGCCAGCCTTCAACTTGCTCAACAGAATCAACCGCAAGGCAAAAATCTATGTACACTTCCTGGATTTTCTATGAGACAGTAGGTTTCCATTACGCTGCGACATATTTGAAACCCAATTGTCATTTTCGAAGCAAGTGGTGGTAGCTCATGAGCTAATGACTTTCTCCTTCCATTTTTTACGAACCGCATAATTCTAAAGTCAAAAGGAACCTCGCAATGGATGTCATTGTTCTCTTCTCTTCTCTAAATCAATCAGCTACAAAGAAGCTACTCATCATATCATGCGATGCAATGTCTCCATAACACTCAATTCATAATCCAAATGTCTCCATAACATTCAATTCATAATCCAAACACATCCCCAGCAAATATACATTCACAGTGAAAATTGAATTGCAGTAGAGAGAGAGAGAGAGAGAGAGAGAGAGAGAGGAACAGTTCCCACCATCGATTTGGCCTTCGACTCCAGCGAGCAGAGCCACGACAGAGCAAGCGACGACTCGAAAGCCGGCGTCAAAGGCCTCCTCGACGCCGGGATCACCGAAATCCCCAGAATTTCTTCATTCGACCGGACAAGACATCCGAAGGCAGCTCCGAATCGAGCAGCGAATCCGAGAATCTCAGCTTCCCGACCATCGACCTCGGCGGGATCGACCGCGACCCGGCCAAGAGGAAGGAGGCGATCGAGAGGATGCGACGCGCGTCGGAGACGCTGGGGTCCTTCCAAGTGGTGGCGAATCAGGGAGTTCCGGGGGCTGCGATGGAGGAGATGAAGAAGGAGGGAGTGAGGAGGTTCTCTACGAGCAAGACGGCAAGGCAAAGGTGGTGTTCTACACGCACGACATAACGGAGGAAGGTAGTGGTACAAATAGCAGTTTCGACCTGTACAGTACACAGCGTCGGTGGCGAACTGGGTAGTGAAGAGAAATTAGTTAAGTAATGAAGAAGGTGATAGATAGTCTTTTCTCATACCTCTCTACTGAGCTCATGGTTGCAATCAATCCTCCCAATCGATGATCCGAATGTGCGCAATCTTTTCCAATTCTTCATGGCCATCTGTTAGGTACCTCTCTTTCAGAGCTGGACAATCACAGATTCTCAAGTCCTTTAAGCGTGTGAGGTTGCGCATCCCTAATGGCAAACGTTCTAATTTTGGACAGTAAGATAATACCAGCTTTTCGAGCAAAGAGAAATTTTCAATCCATTCCGGTAAACTCTCTAGATTCTGACAGTAAGAAATCTCGAGAGATTGCAGAGTCGTGACATGTTGAATCCCCTTGGGTAATTCCACCAAATCCCAAACATATCTGATTTTAAGAACACGAAGTTTTGTAAGGAATCGCCATTGGGTGCCGTGCTCGTCTTCTTGGCACAATAAATCGAGTTCCCAACAATCATGAATGCTGAGTTTCTGGAGCGAGGAAAGGTTCTGCATGCCACGAGAGAGACTCTTTAGGTTGCGAAAGAAGTGGAGGCCCATGGACTCAAGATTACTGGCTAATCGGAGTAGAGTCTCGAGCATCGAGGGCTCCATATCACTATCATCAAGAACTAGACGCTTTAGTTTAGAGAAAGGGATGAATGTGGATCCCACTGTTGCTTCTGATGGGCAATTTGGATTGACCATCAATTGTTGTTCCAACATTTTCGTCCTATCTATGTGCAAGTATTCCACCTGGGGGAATGGTGGCACAAAATTCATGTGGGGACAGCCCCTTATTAGCACGGACCAAAGTTTTGGGAAGGATGACTGTGAATTGTCTAACCGATGCTTTTGATATGCTTTTATTACTTGCCTTCTTCCCCACCATTCTTTCAGGTTGCTGCAAGAGCAGAGGGATAGTTTCTCAAGAGATTGGAAGAAGCGGCGTGTAGTATTGGATTGTTCCGGGTCATTTGTCTGTTGAAGGAACTCCAATGCATCCAAGCCTATGAGAATCAACGTCCTTAGGGAAGGGAGATCACTCAGGGGTGGTAGGTGGCTCAGTGAGTCACACATTTTAATTAAGAGATGCCTAAGGTTGACTAATTTCCTCAAATCTCTTGGAAATGTTTTAAGGTTCTTACATCGATAGAGTTTAAGGATTTGCAAGTTCACCAAATCCGTAATTGAATTCGGCAAAGTCTGGATAGATTGGTTTTTTGAAATATTAAGAAACCTTAAATGCTTCAACTTTCCAAAGGAGGAAGGAGGGAGAGGAATATTTGTATTATCCAAAACCAACGCTCGACAGTGTCTACACTTGGAGAAAACTTTGTGAGAATTGAGTACAGAGGATTCACCTTCCAAATAGAGAAATGTCCGCAATTTGGATGTTTTGAGCAGGGACACCATTTTCGCTTCAGAGAAAATCTCCGAAATAATCGACGCATGTCTAATTCCTCTATCATTATCTCCTCTTTCAAAATTGACAATCTTGCATTCACCTCCGGCAACTTTTCGGGCAAGATCGTGCATGAGATCATGCATCTTGAAAGTTATAACCTCGCCGTTGTCTTTTTTGCGTGCAGCATCGAGGAAGGACCTACATAGTAGTTTTGACAAGTAATTGTCGGCGACCTCTTCAAGGTTGTCCTCCCCGTTGAGTGACTCAATAAAGCCTTGTGCCATCCAAAGATGTGTCATCATCTCTTTATCGTAGACATAGTCTTTCGGAAACAATGAGCAATATGCAAAACAATGTTTCAAGCATGACGGGAGATGATCGTAACTGAACTTGAGGACTTGCATAATTCCATCATCAACCTCATCAATTTCTGGTATTTCTGGAAGTTCACGCACTTGGTAATGGAGCCACTCATCTTTATTTTTGCCGTATAAAAGGCCTCCTATAGTTCTAATGGCAAGGGGAACGCCAGCGCATTTTTTAACTATATCTCGACCTATCTCCTCCAGTTCTGGGTCTGATGATTCTACCTCATCTCCAAAAGCCATTTTCCTGAATAAGTTCCATGACTTATCTTCAGATAAGCCATTTAGAACATGGATAACCGATTTCGCATCCGTGACCTTTGCAACTTTGTGGCTACGAGTGGTTACAAGTATCTTGCTTCCCGGTAAACCACCCTCAAGCCAATCTCCAAGCTTCAACCATTTATCCCGATCTTCATTCCACAAGTCATCCAAAACAAGCAAACATTTCTTCCTGCCTAGAATCTCATGAAGAAGACTTGGCAATTGGTCTATAGGCTTATTCTCAAGATCTTGTAATAACTTTTTCATCTCATCATCATCATGCTCTTGCCAGTTGTCGTTCGCTGATTTAAGAATTTCTTTGATAATCACATTCACGTTAAAGACATCAGATACACACCCACATCTTAAGCCCAAAATGCTCTTTTACCTCCCCATCGTTGTACACTAGTCGTGCAAGTGCGGTTTTTCCAAGACCTCCTTTACCAACGATGGCAACAAATGACACACTCTGGCTAGAGGAGGGATCAAACAAAAGTTGTTTGATCTTTTTTTTGTCCTCTTCCCTACCAATTATTGCTCTGTCGGGTGCGAAAATTTCAGTTTTCTTTCCTCTCCCGATGGCCATTGTTTCCTCCCTCTGATGCTCCTCTAAACGGAACTTCCTATCGTTTTCGATCACATCCAGTGTCTTCCTAAGTTCCTGAATCTTGTTAGCCACTTTGAGGCAGTGTGCAAGCTGATTCGATTTAGAGAAGAAAACGCTTAACGCTTTCAATATCTTGTTGCCGGAGGTGACCTTCCGCCTCAGATCTTCGGTTGCGACATCGTCAAGCAAATTCTGTACGTCGTACAACACGTCCTTGAGCCTCTCAAGCCAGAGCTTGACCTGGTTGTTGTGCCACTGCTGCTTCTCGGCATCCAAAAGCACAGCTCGGATGGTCTGAACTGCGCCCTCAAGGATTTGGAGCTCGCCCTCGGCACAGCAGAGCAACTGAATTTTCTGAGAAGCGAAGGAGCCTCCAGGTTTCGCAATTTCGGAGGCGATGCTTTTCAGTATGGCGGTGGCAAGGCTGAAGAGCACTGCTTCCGCCATTTCCAAAAAGGCAAAAGCAAGGGGTTGAGGAGTGTTTGAGAGGAGGTTGCAGAGGTGATGCTTTTGTTGGGAGACGATGGTTTGGTGGTGCCTCGTGATTAACTTCATGCAACAATACATAGCAAGGGCAACGGCATCTCCATGTTACTTCATGCTCAGTCGCTCCAGTAGATGATAACAGAGAAAAAGACGCGTGGGGTGCATAAAACAGGGACTAAAGAAAGAAAGAAGGAAAGACCAAAGACCTATGAGTCAAAAAAGCCGGTTGCCTCTGTATGTCTAGAGAAAATTTTCGTACTTTTTCGTTTTTCATCTTCATCTGCATATGAAAATAGTATCGAAAAAGCCATTTGGTCCCGCATTTGAGAGCAGTTTCCAAACGAAAACCCAAATGCGCTCAAATAACTTTATTGGAAATGGTTAAGCAAATGTATAAAAATTTCCTCATAATAACTTTATCGAGAATTGGATAACATAAATGAGCCTTGGCAAAAATACGTAAGTTTATTCATAATCGTGTTTGCATAAATGAGCTTTATCCCACAAAACAATGAAAGCTTATAATAGCTTTCTTGTGTATAAATGAAAATTCTTATCCAAAGAACAAAAGAAATAAGAGAATACTATTTCACTAGATCACGTTACCAAAATTGACAAGGGTCAACATGCCATGTTTTTAAAACCATCATTTTGTCTTATGTATGTACTAGAATATTAACTAATGCATTGCTGCGGGAGCAAGAAGAATTAACAATTCAAACTTTATCAATCTTTTCGTTTCTCTAAAAATTTGATATTGCACCTTGTTTAGTCTATTTTTTAATAAATATTTTATCATACGCAAAATACCTTTTCGAAATAAAGTTTAAACGGTTTATATACGTATATCAAGTTATTTGAGGATCCTTATTTTGATCAAGGAGAAAATAACTCCATAATTGCCTTCATAGGTAAGAATACGAGTAAAATTTAGAGTTGGGAGACTTATGAAAATGATTAATTCCGAGGTCATCCATGTTTTGTGACAATAAAGCCAAAGAGATAATTTAGTGAATGATATCACATCTGAATGTTTTGATGACTCGATTAGTTAAAAAAGATAATGAATAATTTATGTTTCTCTTTTGCGCAAAGGGAATTCATGAGCAGGTAGTCATATTCGCACGCAATCTGTTATTATGTTTACGGGGAATTAAAGAAGCCAGCTATGATTTCTGTCCATCAGAAATTGATGGAGCAAACCGAATCTCTCAAATGCTTTTTAATGCAAGTTTTAATTCCAAAATAAACGAAATAAAAAGTTTGAGAATTCAAATGCGTAAATGGCACAAGGACTCCTATTATCACTGTCCTGCTAATTGTAAATTTCAAACTACATAACCATGCAACGTGATCAGGTTAACCACATAAACTGTGTAATCGATGTTTGATCGCAGTTGATAAAAATCTATGTATCGGTACCTCGCCGTACTAATTGCATTCACTAGGAATTTTCTAACTATACTGACAGTAGGAAGCATTTTATTGGCAGTCTCTTGGGGCGTTTTGGTCATCAACTATACAATTGCTTAAACGATTTTGGGAACTGCTTTTTTTGGGAAACAGTACCAAACGCTCTTTTTCACATACTATTTCACAAAAATGAAAACGGAAAAGGGGGGGAAAATTCTCTCTGAACAAATGGGGCAACTTGCTTTGCTTTTGCCTCATAGTCAAGCCACGAGATAGACTACTAGCTAGGGGAAGCCGTATTAATTTTGGGCATGTCAAGCTCGGAATTCGCCCATGGGACTCTTTCCAAAAGTCATCCGCGACATTAGACTTTTCAAAGTCATTTGTGCCAACCTCAAATTGAGTTTTTCATGGACAGCTGCGTGTCTGTACGTTGATTCCAGAAGCAAATCTCACAAAGGCTTTTAATAATCTCAGCATTTCATATCCAGTCGCTCTCTCCATAGTTCCGTATCGCAATTGTATATCACACGAGACTTTGAAACCATCTTGGCAGCACAAATCAACGCCGCCTTCGAAGAATCAAACCTTACAATTTTCGGGGACTTTCCTCATTTTCTCTATAGACCTTTCTATGTGGACCTCACTCGTCTTTCACACCCACCAAACATTTTGTTTTCCAAAAGGGAGGACACAAATAGGGGTTGCTCCCCCCTGATGTTAAAAAAAAAAACAATTACTTATGCCATGTTAAGTACTCACTCTTTCAAAAAAAGAAAAGAAAAAAAAAAGAAAGAATAGTTGCTTGATATGTCTGGAAATAATTTGTTTTTTCATTAGTATATGCACGAGGAACGAAATGTTGCCGCTTTAATTTTCATGTAATGCCACGAGAAGTTTCAACGTACGTAATATGGCCCATAGGCCCAGGCAGGAGTGACAATTCAAATTTCTTTTCTTCAAAACCGTGTCATTGCGAATGCCATTAATAGGCTCACTGCTAAGGAGGTTGATTGAAGTGAACTCACAACGACTTTGGGACCACCGTGGTGGCCTTTCACGCCACCCCAACATTTGCAAGGACCAAACGCTGTCTGCCTTTCATCCCACCTATCGTTTGCACCTGCTTTATCTTCTTATTGGGTCAATTCCATTCCCACCTGCCATAATTTGATTTCCTCCCATAAAACATGACAACAAATGAGGCTTAAGGTTTCGACTTTTGTGCATATGGAGCTGCTGTGGGCTGTTACTCAGGTTTTTTCTTGTTCTGTTGATCATGATTTCCTCCCTTAATTTGAGTAATGTTTCCTCTTTTTTGCAGACATTGTAATGTTGATGCAGCGCCACGTGACCAGCACATCAGAAAAAGATTGAAAAACAATATGAGAGAGAGAGAGAGAGAGAGAGAGAGAGAGAGGGGGGGCAACACGCTTTTGTTCATTTTCTCTTGAGATCGAATTCTGCCCAGTGGGAATGGAACTGACTAATGTGAAGATAAGCAAGTGCAAATGTTAGACAAAATTCATCTTCATTCTTCGAAGGCGACATTCATTTGTGCTACGAAGATGGTTTCGAAGTCTCGCGTGATATATAATTGCGATTAGGGACCATGGAGAGTGACTGGACATGAAATGCTGAAATTATTAAAAGCCTTTATGAGATATGCCTTTGGAATCATCATCAAATGTGGAATGCTCTCCCTATCAATGCCTTTATGATTTATGACTTTTTCGACACATTTCCCGGCACGCGGCTGTCCATGAAAACTCCATTTGTGGCTGGCACGGATGGAGAATGAACACAAGTGGGCAAAGATTTGTCATGGATGACTTTTGGAAGAGTCCCAATGGATGGATTCCGAGCTTGACATGCCCAAAATCGACTAGTCTAAATATCATGGCTTGACGATGCGATAAAAGCAAAGCAGGTTGCCCTGATTTTTTAGTGAAAATCTTCCAATTTTTTGTTTTCATTTTCAGTTGAACATGAATATAGCATGCGAAAACAGTCTCCAAAATTGTTTAAGTAGTTGTAGAGTTGACGAACAAAAGTTATAAAAGACGGTCGATAAAATAATCTCTAGTGTTGCAATGATTAGAAGATTCGTGAATTACCTGATAAATAGATTTTCATCGATTGTAATTGTAATTGGATGTCGAACTCGCGAAAAAGTTTGTTTAAAAAAGGATGCAAAAGCAAAGCAAGTTGCCCAATTTGGTTAGAAATTAGGACACTTTTGTGGTGGCAATTTTAGGGATACATGTCGAGCTGACATACATCGGGCGGTGGGTTACTGTGATTTCAAGTCGAGCTAAGCACGGTGGGATCGCATCATTTTTTGACTTTATATATAGCTTAGGATCAGGACCATGTAAAGATCCTAGCTAATTAAGGTCCTACTTAAGATTTGAATCATTTCTTAACTTTCAAATAAGATCTTACAGTCCGGATTGGATCCTAACAGGCATGGATAAGAATGCATGTTAGCAAAAAGCAAGGAGAAGAAGAGATTGAAGGGATTCCATTCAATTCCCCAAGCAGCATTATTGCTGATTTAAAGAGAAAAATGTTAGTTGTTTATAGGAGAAGCAAATGAGGCGTTTACTTCAAAACTTATTCATTGATTTTTGAAGAGGGTTTTTTTATTGAAAATCATTTTAACAGGGGTGGCAACCCTCCACAACTCTTTGACATTTAGTCTATCTTATGCTTTCTCACAGAAATGCTATATTGCAATATGAATCTGACACACCGCCGTCTGAAAAATTATAGAGTGCTTGAAAAAAAAAGGTGGGAAGAAGTTGATATAAGATCAAATATACAACTCAACCATATGCAATAGCAACATGTGACATTACGATTCAGTCTTCGCTGATTGGAGAGGCAGTATATTTTGCTTCATGGGACCGGAGCCTCTCGAGGAGTTGCCCGCGGTTTGCAGGTGAGGCAATGGGCTTCTGTTGCGTTTTTCACCTTTCGAAAAGGAAAAATTCATGAACAAGTTCACAAAGTGAATCAACGAAGATAGTTTGCAAAAGAATTGCAGTAGTTCATATAGGTACAAAGTAAATGGTTTTCACTGTATGATAACTTAATTTTCTTTTCTATTTTCTTCAACAAATCAAGGGCTAAACTAGCAACTGTATGAAACTTGAGTTATTCGCATACGCATACATTTTCGATTGAATCGGCTGGAATAGGTGTTGAACACTCAGGAAAAGAAAGTGCCCAGTTCTTCGTTCAGCTGACAAAGGCAATTGCTAATGCTGAACGTGTACAAAGTTTCTCGCCTAAATTCCACTTCCCGTCATAGCATATAATCTTGCATCTAGTCTCAATGAATGAGACGAATCAGTAAGACGATCCTCAATGATTGACCATTTTCACCGACGGGAACCTTGGAGGTGGTCATTCCGTTCTTTTTGGGTGGAAAAAAAGGATGTTCCTCGACGGTTGACTCTATCGCGTTCTAGCAGTTGCAGTAGCAAACTTTTGCACCCAAGTGGATACAAAATATCAATACCCTTTACAGTATTCTCTGGGAATCCAGCCGACCATACTTTTTAAGGCAGCAATAGTTCAGTTTTAACTGATGCATCGCAATAACTCTGGCAGAGAAATGCTGA